CGCCTCAGGGACCCGCCGGTGCGTTTGCAGCGCGTTCTGCTGGAGCCGCGTTTCAGCCCGCGTTTCCTTGTTGCCAGGAGCTGGCTGAAGGCCTTCACGGAGCGTTTTGAAGAGGAAGCGTTTGGCGAAGGGCTCCTGGCGGCGGTGCGCGTGGGCGGCGTTTCCCCGTTTGTCCCTTCCGCAGGAAGCGAGGGGGTCGTGACAGTGGTGCGAGGTGGAGGAGGTTTGCGTTTCTTTTTTTCGCCTCGTTGCTCTATTTCCTATTCCTGCATGCATGTTTCCCTTAGTAGTGCCCATTTTGAAAAGAAAAATGTAGTCTTTCAACTGTGAAATATCTCAGGCTTTGCTCCTTTCTCATATACAAGTCTGTTGCTGACTTTGCTTGATACTCCCTGTAAAATATCATCAGAGCATCCCTAATTGAAAGCTTTTAAAAACGACAATCCACAGCTCTTTTTTTTTTTTTTTAAACCTATCATAAGCTTCCATTTCTAGCTCAGTCACACGTAAGATTTCTGGTTGTTTCCACTTTTTGGTTGTTGCCACTGTGATGGTAAGCAAAAGGGATTAGATAACCGCATGGACGATAGCTCCATAAAGGACTAATACAACAAGTCGGCAGATCTTCCATCTTACATCCCTGATTCAAACATTCTGGGTGCCTGGGAGCAGAGAGGAATGGCGGCTCTGCCCTCCCCAAACAGTTTCTCCGGTTCCCAGTGCTGGAGGCAGACAACTGGGCTTGGGTGGGCCGTCGCCTGGGTGGCCCTGCAGGGCATTTCATAGGTTCTTCTGAGAGTACCGAAGAGGGACACAGTGCTTTGTTGTATTTTGAAATACTTACTCGGTTTTACTGTTCTCTGAAAACTACTGCTGTGTCTTTGACTCTCTCTGTGGATAACAGCTTCACAGTTCGCATTGCATCGATACAACTCCGTTCGATGCATTTCCCCTACTGGCTTCCAGATGTGGGTTTAACTGAGGGAAAATCCCTCCAGACAGATGTTGCTTCATGGCAGTACATACTGTTGGGGGAATTTCAGTGAAGACAGGGTTTGTCTTTTTTTTATATATCAAGGTAGCTTACTACCAGTACACAGAGAACTGGTATGACTAGCAAAATGATATCTTGTGAATATCTAAAGGCTGCCACTCAAGAGATGTACGTAAATGCTATCCATATGCGTACTTGGGTAACTAGGAAACCTAGGAGAGAGTCATGTCATATTTCTCCTGATTTGAAACTTGAGCTGCTCTTATTCTGTAAGCTTGGCTGTGCAACAATGAAGATACTACCAGTTTAGCAAGCAGATGGTGAATAGTAACCCAAGCAGGAGTATGGGAACTTACTGAGGTACCAGGGCCCGTAATTGGGCCTGCCTTCATGTCTTCACTGTTGCTCTGGACCAGATCAACCAGAGCTAGAACAATTATACTTTCTCTGCTCCCGTTTCATTTCTCTCATCCCTAAAGGCATGGTCTAGGTGACACAAGAGTAAAAGACCCTTTCTGAACTTTCTGGAGGCCTGTAGAGGATTGCTTCCTTCACTGAAAGCATAAATTAATAGAGTCTGCAGATTTCTATCATACCTTCTAAATGCAGACAAACACAAGACGGATTAAAGAATGAAAAGGCAAATTAAAGTTTTAAAAATCCTAAATAAATTCAGGAACTTGGAGCTTGTTTCATGTTGTGATTCTGTTTTGGTGGTTTGTTTTTTTTTTCATGTCATAATACTGCCACAATGCAGCTGCGCAACAGTGAAAATTGAGTGGTCCTTCAACTTGTGGTTCTGGGGGGGTTTTGTTTTGTTTTAATCTGTAATACCTCCAGCTGCTTTCATTCAGCTTCAGAAGGGTCTCATCACTGGTGTTGCCGTGCTGTCCAGTCTGGTGGGTTTTTTTAAATTATTAAAAAAAAAAAAAAGGCAGCACAGCACGTGCCTCGTGCAAGATTTGTTAAGGATTAGCACTGAGCTAATGTGAGGAGGGTGACAGTTGCCAGTATCACTTTGATATCTCTCTCTTCTGCATTCCCAAGAGACGCTTCTGGTAATGATGTCCACATCAAACAGTACAGTATTTGAACTAATGTTTACCCCTTTCTTCCCTTCACAGCTAGGGTGGCAAAACACAAAAGAACCTCAGGATGTCTGTAGTTCAGCGAGGGACGGCAACACTTCGTAAAGCAAAGAAAATCACTGTAAAAACATGTCTAGATAACCCCTTTGTTTTTCAGTGGAAAACCATAGATGGAGAAGATATGCATTTTATACTAGAGACCTTAGAAGAAAGGATTAAACATATTGGACTTAAAAAGATTGAGACTCCAAGAAAGAAAAAACGTTCCCTTACAAAAACACAAATGGAAAGAAAGTGTGATGCTAGCACCAGTGAACTCCCTAAAGAAGAGGAAACAGAAGGCCATCAACAAAAACCAGGATGGACTGACATAAGTATCAGAAGACAGCTTGCTATTGGAGTTAATGAAGTTACAAAAGCATTGGAAAAAAACGACCTTCTTCTCTTGCTGGTGTGCAAGTCTGCAAAACCTGCCATGATCACATCCCATCTTATTCAGCTGAGCGCAAGTCGAGCCACACCAGCAGGCCAGGTTCCCCGTCTCAGTGAAACAGTTGCACCACTTCTTGGCTTAACATCCACTTTAGCACTAGGCTTCAAAAAGCAGTCTGATAAATTTACCGAAGCAATCGAAGCAATAATTCCAAAGATACCAGCTTTGGAAGTGCCGTGGTTTCAGTACAGAACTGAAGAATCTGTGGCTTATGCACATACAGATTCTTCAGAAAATCAGGAACCTGAGCAGCTTGCAGAGGCGCTGGGGGATGAGCTCACAAGCCAGAAGCGGAAGCGTACGGAAAGCAATCAGCTCGATCTTTCAAATGTAACTTTGCAGCCTTTGAAAATCAAGAAACTTGTTCCAAATCCAAATAAGATAAAGAAACCACCTCGCAAAAAGAAAAAAGCTTTTTCAGCATAACTAATTTTAGTTTAGTCTTCATATTAAATGATTTTTTTTTTTAATGCATTATGGAGTACAGCTCTAACTGAAGTATTTTGTTGGGCTTTACAGTGTAAAGCACTTGAATACAAGGTAAACTTTGTGTTGCACTCAGCTGAGGTACTTTCTGCTCTAATAAAGAATATTGCTCAAACTTGTGTGTGAGTCTTTACCTGGGGGTAAATATTTCATTTGCAGCTGGAGATCAAGAGAGTTAAAATCAGTAGTGAATATGCTGAAGTAATTTAAGACATAAGTACATCTTTGGAATTAATGCAAAGCATTAAACAAACTTTGTATTTTTGTACAGATGAACATGCTTCAAGCAAAATGGATTTAAGTATAATTATACAAACAAATCAATACCAAAAGTGAAAGTTTATTTAAACAAAGGTCCATGCCAGTATAACTCTTTTAAAGCTGGTTCAATGCTTGTTTCAAGTAAACAGCTGTAACAGCACAGGCAGACTTCCCTTTTGAACTTACTTTCATAGTTTGCTCTGCTGAACAGTAAACCTGTTTTGGTCAAGAATGTATGCAGACTTGGGTTCCATCTAATACCTGGTGTCTGATATGCTGAAGGAAAAAAACTTTATTTTCAAACACAGAACAAAACCAAATTACTACTGCTGCATTTTGAAAAAATACTTCCGTATGCAAACTATTAACACACATATCCCGTGAGAAAATGTAAACTAATCTGAACTCAATTTGATTTCTAAATGGTGTCTAAAATTATTTCCCAGGAAGCTGAGATAAGCCATGTACTGTTGCATGTAAAGTAGATGACAGCTATAACCTCTACAAGACTGAAAACGTACCACATCGTAACTTTTGAGTTTCCTTTAGTTTTACTGAGGACTACGAACAGTTTCCTAATGAGACAGTTGTGTTCTAGGAAGGAAAGGGAATAGAATCATAGAACCGTTTAGGTTGGAAAGGACCTTTAAGATCATCAAGTCCAACCATTAACCTAAGACTGCCAAGTCCACCACTAAACCATGTCCCTAAGCACCTCGTCTACCCGTCTTTTAAATACCTCCAGGGATGGTGACTCCACCACTTCCCTGGGCAGCCTGTTCCAAGGTTTAACCACTCTTTCAGTAAAGACATTTTTCCTCATGCCCAATCTAAACCTCCCCTGGCGCAACTTGAGGCCATTTCCTCTCGTCCTTTCGCCAGTTACTTGGGAGAAGAGACCGACACCCACCTCGCTACAACCTCCTTTCAGGTAGTTGGAGAGACCAATGAGGTCTCCCCTCAGCCCCCTTTTCTCCAGGCTAAACAACCCCAGCTCCCTCAGCCGCTCCTCATAAGACTTGTTCTCCAGACCCTTCACCAGCCTCGTTGCCCTTCTCTGGACACGCTCCAGCACCTCGATGTCCTTCTTGTAGTGAGGGGCCCAAAACTGAACACAGTATTCGAGGTGCGGCCTCACCAGTGCCGAGTACAGGGGCACGATCACTTCCCTACTCCTGCTGGCCACACTATTTCTGATACAAATAGTGCTGCAATTCAGCCAACCAAAATCAACAGCCTAGGAATTTACTTGGCACTCTCTGTTTTAAGCAAAAGTCAGTATGGTACTGTAGAAGAAAGCGTAAAATACCTTAACTGAATTACTCTGCTGTTCCTTAAAGATGGAATTTAAGTGTTGTAGTTCTCAGAGATTTGCTAATCCAGACTTCTAGTGCCATCAGCTAGCTAATCTGTGTTTTGGATTAATTTAGAAGTTACTTTAGTTCATGATACCAACTACGAAGGGAGGCAGTAGCACTGATTCTGTAGTCATGATGCTCCCTGAAGTTTAAACAAAACAAAGACATCTAATGCTAAATTTTTTCCTCTCCCTGGCTGAGGGTGGCAAGGAGGGAGATGAAAGTTTTTTACCTTGCTTCATAGTCCTTCATACATGTCACATGCTTTGGCTTTTTGGATGCATAAAATTTTGAAGGTATGCTAGAACTAGTGTATTTAATTCTCATGTTGGCTAACTGTAGCATTTAAATCTTTAAACAGAGCATGACGATTAGCTTTGGTAAAGAGCATAAGCGCAGCAATCATCTTTCAAGCACTTTGCTGCCTGCCCAGGTCTATAGCTCTCTTCAGGGATTTGCGTCCCCTCTGCAGACAGAAAGTTACTCTAGGAAAGAAATTATAGAAGATGTTTCAGAAGACTGGTGGGAAAGGTGGTGAAAGGTGTGGAGTGAGCCTTAAGTTTGCCAATCTTTGTGAAACCATCTACTAGGCTTTGAGGAGTCTTAACCTGGTAGCTGTTCATAGCAAGCCTAATGCACAGACAGGTTCAACTTTGGAAACAACAGAAGAGCCTCTCCTGTTGAGCTGCTGACCCCACACTGATAATACCCTTTCGTTAAGTACCTGCTTAGGAAGCAAGACTGAGTTGCCACAATTTCCACCTCCTGAGCAACTGTCCTATTGCATGGGTGCAGGCTGGGACACCTTCAAGATTCACATCCCTTGATGCTGTAATACTTCAGGAGAGCACTTGAGGTGAAGAGCACAGCTAGCCAAAAGGTTAACACGCACAGGTTCATGAACAGGACTCTCTAGGAACTGCCCCAACGCTTAGGCTCAGGTGCTCACTTCCCTCATGCTCACTGGCCCTGGAAGTTTTTTCTCTCAGCTACAGCACTGCACAGCTTCTACAGGAGCATGGCTCTGCCCTCCTTCCCCTCGGTTAACATGCAGCGTGAGCCAGAAAACAAGGCAGAGAAGTTTATGCCCCGGGTTCAGAAGCAAACGGCACTGTTTTCCCAGAAGACAGCAGAAGAGTGGCCACGCTCCTTCCTTCATGTGCAATTACCCCAAGATTAGGGCAGAAAGCCAGGCTGCAGTAAACCCAGGTTCAAGTCTGTCTTCTGCCTGGACATATTTGGTCCCATCACGGCCTCAACGCTTTTCCAAACAATAGTACTGGGGAGGTTTTGCCTTCTGATTTTGGAGAAGAGAGGCAAAAAGAAAATGTCTGCCTACCATTTCTTCCACTTGCATTTTTTTGAGGGGAGGGAAGGCAGAGAACATGAGCATATCTTTCACCTAGCATTCAAGACCACTCATCCGGATTAGAGAGAGCTGGGCCGTGACCTTTCTTAGCAAGGAAGTACCTTAGCCAGGAGGACAGAACTACGCCCTGCTGTCCCACCCCACGTTAGGCAGCAGCTGAGCAAGGATTGCCGAGGCTCTGCCTTTAGAGCCGAAGCAGAACGCACCGAGCCCATTGGTGAACCTCCTCCTCATCCCAGTGGGCTCCAATGCAAATGCCCAGCCAGGAAGGCACCTTCCTGTCTTTTGGAAGTTAAGAATTTAAGTCTTCGATGGAGTTGAGATTAAATCCTTCTTGTTACCTCAAATATCACTACCATCAATTACATTTTCAGGCACTTAAATCTGCTCAGGCCTCACACAGAGTGTCAAAGCTCCTTCTGCACCATCTCTCATGACTGCTACTAGCAGACAGGTATCAGAGTGGCCAAACTTGTAAAGCCCAACTACACCATTAGATGTCTGAAAGGTCTCCTTTGAAGCCCTTTTAAATTCATGAGGTCCCGAGCTGGTGCACAGCCAGGGGTCAGACAAACCACATTCAATCCCTTCCTTTGTTTGAGGGAGGTCAAATGCTTTAAAAACAGAGCTTTAACGCAGTAAGGGAAAGTATTTATCACTGTCTCTAGGGCAGAATCCTCTCACCACAATTCAACAAGAAAAAGAAACCAAACCACAAACCATTCACACATTGGAAAAGGAGCGGGAAGAAAGAAAAACCACACTGCCATAAGGAGGTGGGTAGGGCTAGCAGTTATGAAGAACAGACAAATTTATCTTTGTCTAAATTGATGTTTTCAGGTACAGAATTCAACTTTCAGCAAAATCTGCTGTCAGAATTACAGGCATGTTTAAAAGGAAAGTTGAGACATTTGCATTTCATGAGATATTTAAGTCACATTCAAAAGATGCTCACAGCACAGAGGCTTCACTACCACAATTTGGCACTTTCAGCTAGAACAGTTTCTTACTGCAGATTTTCTCAGTGCTCATGTTACTGCAGCATCCATGAGCTGAAAGAACTGCTATCATATCTAGCTATGATGCTACGCTGGAATGCATATAAAGTGGTTCAGAAGCCACTCTGGTTGCTGAGCATTCATGAGGGAATTAAAACAGCTCCTCCAACAACAAAGATCAGCCCTCCTACAATTCAGGAAGCGGAGTACACAGACTTCCAAGGACTGAGGGTAGAGCATTTCTCTTCTGCTTATCAGCCACATATATAGCAAAACTTCTTGTTCCAAAGTCAGGATAAAAACACTACCAGGAACAATTTATGAATACGTATTTACACAAGATACTTTTCATTAGAATTACAGACTTCATAGGAAATCGAAGTAGACAAAGGAATATGTGCAATTTCGCAGAAGCATTGAAAACATTCAAACTATAAATATCCTGATAGCACTACTAAAATTCTTAGTTTTACACACAGGCTGATGTTATTCTACTGAGGAAAAACTAAGGTTTGTGCCACAACTGTAAATTAAGTACAGTAATGTATTATCATTCCGGCAACATAGATAACATCTGCACTGAACAGTGCGATACTGTTAAATCAATCCACTGATCTATTGAAGATCAAAGTACAAATCTGTATTTTTATTGATTTGGCAGCGTTGCTTATGGAGAAACAAATGCACTAGTTAAACCAGTACATTGTCATACCGCTCCAGTTACAAAAACATCCAGGACTTTCATAGAGCTACAAACATATCGTACTTCATGATTTTTCCCTCAAATGATGATATCCACGCGAAGTAAATATGCAAAAGATACTCAAGTTTGTATCCTTCATTCTGTTACACTGACAAACATACACCACCACTTAATAAATAGAAATGCAGCAGTTCATCCACATAATAGCAAATATTTTTGTACCCTAATCCACCACTGAAGTTCAGTTTGTACAAAACAGTCTTTTCTACAGAGTGGAAAAAAAATACCTTCTTCTCATCAAGGTGCAAGCTAAGCTTTGAAACTTAAATGAATGTGCTTTTATTCTTTTCATGGACAATAAAAGAGTTTCATGGGCCTTCTGATCTATCTGAAAATGCATAAATTTGGTCACATATGGATGTCTTCATTGTTCAGGTTTAATGGACTATTTTCAGTATCACTGACGTTGTGCTTTTACTCCTCTTGAACAATACCGTTCCAAGAGTTATGGAGATCAAATTAACTCAAACAATGACCTCAGTTCTAGAAACATAAGTGTCCTCATTGTAATACAAGACCAACCTGAAGGAAGAAGAAAAATATAGTATTTTAGTTCAAGTATGGCAATAAATCTAAACATCATTAGTTTTCTGCACGTCAATTAGGGATCTTAAATATGACCCATTAAAAAAAGTTATTTTAAAACTTCTGCCCATTTTGGCCAGTGTAGATTAATGTACCATTATACCCAACAGAATTCAGAAGCTCTTTTTTTCTCCCTTACCTTTTCGGATTCCATGCCAGGACACCTCCAGTTGTACAAATAATACTGCAAATTTCCATCTCCAATCCCAAACTTGAGTTTTTCCAGGAATGTTTTGTTTTCCATTAAGTCTAGTGCATTGAATACATCAAATCCTTTCTGGCAATAGCAAAACATTTTTTAAATTTTACTTTTTAAAGTTTCAAATGATGCACAAATGATACTTTACACAGTAGCATACAATATCCAAGAGACTAGGCTAATTAAGTGGAAAAAAAGACAAGGGAATAAATCTTGCCTTTCAATTAGGTACACACACAAAGAAATTTTCCCAATAAAAAGTGAAGTAAAAGGCACAACTTTGCTTGAAGATTATCTCCAAAAGGGTAAGATTTTTAAACCCACTTTCAGGGGTAAAGGTCTGAAAAGTCCCTAAAGCTTTATCCATTATTTTATCCATGCATACAGATAGGCATTTTTTACAGTCACATACAGTGTTTTGGACATGCATGGCCTATTCCAGCTAAAGCTGCATAAATACAGCTTATGGTGTTTTTCAGCCATTTATCATTCTGTTAATGATAAACATATTTTTGTGATTTGGTCCTTTTCTGAAATGCCATTGTCTTTAGAACTCCATCTTTCACACGTTACTCTCCCTCCCCTACTCATGCACCCTCTACCAACTCCCCTTTTCATCAGCCTCCCGAATTCACCACTCAGAGTGCCGTTTTGCTCTCAGAACAGCCATGTAGCCAAATTAGTCTCATGATTTTGTGTGGCAACACAAACATACTCAAATCCCAACTCACTGTGAACTCTTAACAAGCAACATAAAAACAAGGTCAGTTAAGCCATCGCAGTGACAATCATCATGTATGAATAGCTGAATTTACTTGGGGGTCTGGATATAAAAGTCCATTTATTTGCAGTTAACTACAAGGGAGTCTGACCTAAGATCTTGGAGTCTTAACAGCACAAAGGCAGTGCGCCAGCAGGCCTTTCTATACTCTAAGATAAAAATGAGTTACAAAACAATAATGCTTAGTTACTTAAGCACAAGAAGATGGTAAGGAACATTCATTACTCAGTATAAAAACTAGATGTATTTTTTTTCTTTTAAATAAGCCCCCTCACATTAGGAAAAAAGGGGGTTGAAGAAAAAGAGCATTTTAAGCTCTCCATCAGTTTAGGACTATTAAAAAAAAAAAGTCACAAAGCACAGACAGTGAGTTTAGTAAGGTTCCTACTACCTTACACAAAGATCATTCTGTGTGCAGATGAAGCTATGCTAAGTTAAATGTGCTGTGAAAAACACACAGAAACAAAACAAATAAGGTGGCAAGGATTTGACACTTGGCATCTAAATGAGTAAATTTTGAAATATTCCAAGTTAGTAATAGACAATAACAGAAATCTCAGAAGGCAGGAAGGGAAGTGGAGGAGAATAGAGACACACTGTAGGTACAGACACACTAATGAAACTATGAAATTCAAATAAAGTCTACAGATGTAGTTTTAATTCAGTATCTAAACATCATCAGATTAAGTTCAGGTTAATTATCTTCTGCGAGGTATAAAAAAAGTTCCTGTTCAAAGATACTTGCTCCACAGCTCTGCCAGACCATTAGAGCAGACTCAGAAGTGAACTTCTTCCCTGTTAATAAGCTCTCTCCTGTTCTAGATCTAGAAAGTTAGTGTCAGCTTCAACAATAAAACATGCAGGGTTTTGAGGGGATTATCCTGCTACAAAATCCCACTCTCCCCATGCAGAATACATGGAACCTAAGTGCATAACTCCAAATTTTGGGTTTTGCTTTGGAGGTCAGGCATTTTGTCCTGTAATTGCGAAGATTTTACTAGACTTACTTCTAAGCTAATTTTATGTAGTGTAATATGAAGATAAAATCAACATTAAACTGATGTGCAAACCCTGAAAGCAGTTTGCTGAGTTGAATTTGTACCTCCAAAATGCATTCTTTGGGAGTAAAAGTACAGAAAGGACTGCGATGGGTTGTCCCCAGCCAAGAACCAAACACCCACTCAGCCTTTCGCTCGCTCAGGAAGGCAAGATGACTTGTGAATTGAAATAATAACAGCTTAATAGAGAAAGCAAAAGCTGCATGCACAAGCAAAGCAAAAAGAGAAACTCATTCACTACTTCCCATTGGCAGGCAGATGTCAAGCCACTTCCTGGAAAGCAAGGTCTCAGCATGCATAATGGTTGTTTGGGAAGATAAATGCCATAACCAGGAGCATCCCCGCTTCCTCCTCCTTTCCTTCAGAGCACAACATCATATGGTGTGGAATATCCCTTTGGTCAGTTGGGGTCAGCTGTCCTGGCTGTGTCCCCTCCCAACTTCTTGCCCACCCTCAGCCTACTCACTGGGGGTGAAAGAGAGAAAGCCTTGAAGCTGTGCAAGCACTGTTCAGCAACAGCCAAAACACTGGTGTGTTATCAGCCCTGTTTTAGTCACAAATACAAAGCCCAGCACCATATGGGCTGCTAGGAAGAAAGTTAACTCCATCCCAGCCAGACCTAGTACATTTGTAAACAAAAAGCTGCGAATAGGAGTGCATTTATCATTTCTCCTCCCGTGCCTTACCTCTCCTCATCTGAAAGTCCAAGTGCCAGATCTGCAAATGTAATTAGGCATCTAATGATGCAGACAGGCCCAGCAGGTATTCACAGGTGTCTAAATCCCAGTATTCTAATTATATGACGATCCATTTAAAAGAAAAGAATTGCATGTCACATTCAGAGAGAAATGTAGACAAGGGAAGGTGCAAGGCCTTGCAGTCAGACCACGTAACTGCTTCCTTACCTATTCCATCCATGGCCTAGTGAATGGCCAGCCACTCAGCTCCCTATGCCACACTTCGGATGGAGACCAACGTTTATTCCTTTTTCCACTTTGACTTTTAAGAATAAGTAGTACTAGTATTTTTAGCCACTTCTGAAAATTATACTAGCCACCTTCCTGTATCTTCATATATCTTAATACCTTTCAAAGTCTGTGTCTGAACTTCCTTTGGTATTATTCTGGAGCCTGAATAATGGGGTTCTATATTCCCCATGACTATCCAGGAGTTTTCCTTGCCAAATAGTTCTTCAACTCAATACCGCTTATAGGTCAACAAGCCTCAGCAAGCAGTTCACATCATAGACATCAGCTCAGCTGCAGTGCTGCACAAACATGGCTGAGACAGACAAGTTGAAGACTATGTGGCTGCTTTCATGGAGCCTGAAGTCTGAGCAGATACAGCCTTTGCAGACTATCACTGGCTTCATACAGGATCAACACAGAAATCCCTGTGCCACATGCAGTGCAGATGGCTCTGAACATGGTCAGCCGGAGCACAGCTAGCATTTGCTTGCACTGAGCACTCATCTGGTAGGTGTAATACCACAAGCAGTGTGGCAGCAACACTTCAGCTGGGAGGGGCAAGCTTCAAGCATGAGGAGCAGAAAACATGCCTGCGCGCTGCAACGTGTTGGGAATGGTTGCTAGAATGGATACCGTGGACTGGATGAAGCCTGTGCAGTGCTGTGAATTGCCAGGGCTACACAGGTCTCTGAGAATTCATTCAGAGTACTGTGATGTGCATCACCTGCACAGCTCCGTGCCACAGACTACATTGCCATTGGTATTTGCACTGCACTCCCATGAAACCCTGATGATTAAGGGCTGAGCGTTAGTTTTTCAGACAGCACTAAACTCTTACAATTCTTACGTTTAAAAACTTCATTTATAGTCTCTTCCCTTCCATTCAACTAAATCATTTATCAGTGTAATTCTAATGCATGAAGGTGTGCTCAAAAGCTACAAGACATGTAGCTTTTGACAGCTTTTTTTAACATTACGGGTAGATGAGGCGCTTAGGGACATGGTTTAGTGGGCATGGTGGTGTTGGGTCGACGGTTGGACTCGATGATCTTGGAGGTCTCTTCCAACCTTAATGATTCTATGATTCTATGACATCATCTACAGAGCTTTACAGGCAGCAATTAGTAACAAGATAAAATGATAAAGCTTGCACAAATAAATTTTTACATTTTGTAGAATTAAAAATAGTTTAAACAAACAAACAAGATGTATTTAATAGAACTTATTAACTCATCTCCAAGGGAAACTATTTTAGTGATACTTTCCATTCTTCTGGTACTTAGTGAATATGGTCAACAGTGTGCTCTTGGATGTTTACACAGTTCAAACTATTGCAAACACTTGATCTTCATGCACTTGTCATTCTTTAGCATCACTCAAAGAAAAAGGAAAAACAAGCACAGTGTTTTATATTTTAATATATATATTGTATATGTCTCATCAACTGCACTCTGTGCTCTAGACAGTAAAAGAAAACAGAATGCAAAGGCATGGATAAATTGCTGCCAGTTCTTACCTTGCCACTGCTCCCAAGAATACTTTTGTGAAAGAAACAGGAAAAAAAAAAACAAAACCCACAACTTACCAATTTAGCTATAATGAGTGCATCATTCATTAAGTCCAAGAGGGGGGTCTCTGTATGAATATTGTAAAAGGAATAGGCAGCTTTGAGGCTTTTATGAACAGGATGGTGCATCACTGTTGAAGGTAATGTGTAGAAACTCAGGAAGTCTGTTAAAATACCATTTGAGCCCTACAAAAAAAAAAAAGTCAATTAATAAGAAGTAACCGCTCAGTTATTGGTTAGGCTAACATGGCAGTTTTACAGAAAGTAAGTAATAAATGTAGCACAGTTTTGCACATCGTTAAGTATTATGATACAACCGGTAACCTTGGCTAAGATTTGAAGACACTGAATTCTTGCCAAGGATGTATCTATACATCAAAGTGAGACTGAAGCCTGAAATGGTCACTTCAGAAAAGGAAACAAACATTTAGGTTTTTCTAAGTCTATTACACCAATAACATTTTGACAACCAATTGCCAAAGCATTTCAGTTTCCCAAGCTCCACCTGCTATAAACAAAGCTAACAAAGCACATTTCCAAAAAAAGTATAGAAATTCTTTTTCCGATTGAACTTATCTTTAAAAGAATATTTTTTAAATCTGACGAAGTTCATATTGAGGAATAATTTTCTCAACTTTCTAAAAACAGAAAGAAAAATATACTGTGCTGGTACACAAAGCATATTTAAATCAGCTCTAGTGATTACTAATCAACAAGCACAATCCATTTGCTAGACAACAGTGCTAAATCACACTGAAATTCTAATAAGACCAGTAGTCATCAAAAAAGGTACTTATACAGAAATCTAAAGTATCCTACATAAACTTTCTTAATATTTCACGCAACTAATGAAGTTTAACCATCTTCAAGAGTGTAGATTAGTAGGAAATGGGAAATAATTATTACATGGGTTATAACTGACATGCTGAGCACAAAAACACTACCCAGGTTTTCACTCCTATTCCGATTGGGTCTCCCGATATCCTTAAGAAGATAAGGCAAAAGAGACACACAAATGCTTGTTCTTACTTGTTTGCTTTATTTGCAAATGACTGGTGCCCACTATTTTGCGCTCAATGAAGGACCTCACACGGATCCTTAAATTGACAGTACTTCTACAGTAAAAAGTAAGAGTTGAACCCATCACATGCAAAAAAGCTATTGTCTTAGAGCAGGTACAGATTCTTTAGTAGAGACAAACTAACAACAAATAACAGAAAAGTTAAGTCACTCACTAAATTCAGTAGGGACGATGAAAATACTAATTCAGGAATTATACAGAGTATTTTAAGGTTTTAGCTCTGCACATTACAAAGATGACTTAAAAATCTGACACTAACTTCTCCAGGTCACACAGGTCTTAAAAAGATTTTAAGCACTAACAAACCTACATTTTGTATAGTGAAAAACTAATTCAAGAGACAGTGTAAAACAAGCAAGTGAAGACTGCGCTGTTCGTTAAAATGGCACTGTCAATGGCACACTTATGCTGATCCTGGTGCTTGTGGACTCTTCTGTAGGCTTCAACTCGCCAACAAAGCCAAAAACCAACCCGGGGAGGGGGGAAGAAGAGGGGGTGGAGAAAGAAGGACAGTCAATAAATTAGACCATGGAAGACTCCAATGAGCACTAGACCCACTACAAAGTAAGCAGAAAGCTAAGCTTGGACAATGACAACCAGTGAGGAGGATCTCTCATCTCCAGCAGCAGTAAGTTTCTAAATTCAGCCGAGACTCCTGCACAAATTCAGGTTGCAGCGTGGGAACACTGAGCTTCACAACCTGCAGCTTCTGTGAGGAGCTGGTAGGTTTAAGGATGTTAGCACTGATCATTTTCAAATAACCTTATCACTTTAAACAAAGTAATACACTACCTAAATACAACGTCTACAACTGATTTAGCATGGACTCAAAAGGAAGAGTGTATCTTTCTCCACTAGCTTTATCGCAGCTATGCCAACCATGCCTTGGAGATTTCCAATCCAAATGATAATCTATTCCTGCACTGCTTATTTTGTGAGAAGCGTTGTGACCAACAGGTTGGAGGGTGGGGCTGGTAGGGTGTCAGGAAAAGAGTAAGTGGTAGGAACAGATGATGCTCTCCATCTTGTTAGCGGACAAAGATTATAATTTTCAAGATAATTGAACTCCTAGCTGACAGCAACTCATGACAGCACCAAGGGATGTTAACTTTTACTTCTCTATTTTACATATATTCATGCATATACATATGTGTGTATATATATACACACACATATACAAATTCATACACATATTCTGTTGCACACTCTTTTACTGGAAAAAATATATTTTACTGAAGAAGACCATCAAAAAACGTAATTCCCCCAGCAGGTGCCCCTAAAATTGGTTTTAAAAATAAAGAATTTTGAACTGGTGTATAGCAGAAACTTAGACACCTGAGAGAATGATACTGAATTCAAACCAAATCCTTATCTCAGTCATTGTATCATTTTTCCTTTTTCCTAGAAAAGGAGACTTGAAGATCACTGCTTATTATCGTGTCATATCTCTATGGAAAAAAATGGAGGAATGCAGGTGGAAGGGTTGTTTTTAAAATATATATTGGTTCTTTGCTGTAATATTTCCAAGGTAGTGATATTTTGAGGTTTCAAAATTCTTCTTTAAAAATAGAAATATAAGAGCACTGCAGTTTATCATAACCAAACATTTTCTCATTAACAGAATGCAATACAAAGAACAAAGCTTGGAATCATGATATCGAATTCTACTTACGGCACACATTTTTCATACTGTCCGCATTTCAAAAACTTGATGCTGATATGAACTTTTGTAAGTAGCATTCACATATACATTCATGAAGTAGTTAGGGCATGTTTTACCTCTACTACATAAGTGTCAATAATATGATCCCGAGGCAAGAACCAGTGGGCTACCTCTTCTTCATCCATCACAGGAGCAAGATTAAACTGTTTCAAGTAAGTGTTGATTAATTCTTGTACTGCTTTAGTATCTTTTTGTTCCATTGGTCTCAAACCTGAAGTCTTTGTGGCCTTATTGTAACAAAAGAAAAATAAATGTTAAGATGTTGAAAGGAAAACTGCATACACAGCAACGGCTCAAAGTAGGTTGCAGAGTCACTCCACTTGCTATAATGCATTCATTATTAGCCTACTTTACCCCAGCCACCTAATTCATTATGCTATTTTACAAACGGCTTTCAATCAGAATTCCCTCTCTTCTAATTATTGAGACAGTCTGGGGCACTTCAATCTTTATATTTGATTATTGAAACAACTTCATTTCTCCAGAGAAAGAGATACCAGTGCCAACAGCCTAGACTTCACGCATTTTGTATTCTTTTTTTTTTTTTTTAGGTCAGTCTTTATTTCTTATCTTCTTCTAAACTACCTAGGGCCCAGACACAGAAACAAAACGTAAACAACTTGCATATCAGAAGTTAATCTGAAGACAAGAACACTTGTGATTCAAACTTATGAAAGTTACAGTCAAGCTATAAACCAAAGTCAGCTGATAAAGTTTAATCAGAAATTATTTAACATAAAAATTCCACCTATTCTTAACATTTGCAAACTCTCTTGCTAACTCAACTTTCTATACATGCACAACTGCTGTTTTGTTAACAAGAAAGCATCTCATAACTTACAGCTTCCTGAAATTAGAAACCTACAGTATTTTAACAAATAAAGTTATTTGACTTTAAACATCAGAAGAGGAAAAAATTGCTTTCCAGTACTATGCAATTAATGTTTAAACAAGCAAAGGTGATTAAAGTTTTCTCCCCAGCTTCTGTTAGCTTTCCTGAATATTTCCTTTTAGGGAGGCTAAGGCTTGTTCTCCTCAGAGCTCATTTACCCTGCTTCATCTGTCTGAGTTACATACTTGGGCACATATCACCTTAATCATAGCAAAGTCAATTGCAAGAGCAGCCAGGTAAAGACTTGATTACTGGAAGCCTGAAATTAGTGTAGCTGATTATGCTCTGTTCAAAAGGCATTATTCTGGGGGAGGTATTTATTCACATACTCTGGGAGTCAGCAGCCAGATGAAAAATCAATACACGTTTTGCCACAGCTCTGGCCTGTGTACTACATTTTAGTCTTCCTGCTTTCCTGAGCAGCCTGGTTTCCCTCCACATCAGTGCATCATCTAGATTTTTAAATGCCCTGAATCCATAAAGGTATTCACCTGACTCATCAACATGACGGTTCCTATGCTGTATTTCATTCACACCCTCCTTATGAACTACAATATGAAAGGTTAATTTCAGCTCCCTCCAAGCCTTCGTCCCTCTTCTAAAGCCATACACTGGAGCAGGATGGGAGGAAAAGCAGCTGGGCTGGAACATCTTTATCCCCCAGCAACGCTCAGAATGGCTCAAAATTTGCAGCCCCAGAAGTGAGGGAAAGTGTACAGAACTGGGCTAAAATTTGTTTCTCTGCTCCACATATCAAGCTGCACTGGGCATATATTCATGCGAGTATCCTGGCTCAGGATCTCAATCAGTCAGGAAGAGACATACAGACACAAACATGCTCCTGTCCTTATTCTAAACACAGCCAAAATGTCTCTCTTTCAGAAAACTCCTTGCACAAGAGATTAAACACTTAGGAAAAAACCCTTTATTTTTAATGTCTATAGGTACATGCACAAACACAGCCTTCAGTGAGGGTGGTATTTATTAATTACAGTATTTATTATTTCTGAAAACCTTTTTAATTCAGACTGTTCAAGTGATTAGGAATGATTAATTCCTCTCAAAGGGAGACGAGCTCCCAGTGGCAATGATATTCCAAGGACACTAAGAAAAGAGGTTAAAATGCAAGAAACAGTGTTTGGTGCTGAGGGACAGGACAGGGTGGCCTGAACAGATGAACAAATTGTGTGACAGTACCGTTCATGATAACAGCCTGAAACTGAGGATGAAGATCCTCAACAGCACTTAAACCCTTTCTTAGGAAAAAAAACTCCAAAAAACCCAAAGCATAAGACCTAAAGAGAAAACATTAGCACAAAGATTAAATCTTTATTTTCCATAGGAGAAGCTCCCAAGTCCAATCTAAAAATAAACAAACAGCTGAGGCATATGGACTCCTACATCACTTAGTTTAAAAAGCTGATTTTCAAAGCACCTGTTTTCTCTTTGCACAGCTCTGTACAGCATGTTTGCCTTAACTATATTTTATGAATGAGATACGATGTATTCTTTGTTTTACATAATTTATTTTTCTGTTGAAATCTGGGTTTTATCATAAAGGAAGATGATCAGGGTACAACTGCTGCAGTTTCTAATGATTCTCTGTAGTTACACTTTTTGTACTGTAAGTAAGATCCTTATTCTTTAAACTATTTTTTTCCTGTATTGTTTCCATGAGAAACAGTACTAGAGTTGCCACCAAAACCTGTATTTGATATTGTCTACTGCACTTTTTTAGACTACTAAAAACGTCTTCAAGATTTAATGGAAGCTATATTTAGCTCTCCAAGATTAAAACCTAATTAATTTGGTTATTAATTCTTACGCTCTGAAAACTGCTGCCCTGCACACAAGGGAGAACCTGCATGTGCAGGCACAGGTAGCACACAGGCAGCGCAGGAAGAGTCTCTCTGACAGCAGCAGGAGTTCAGATCAAGCCATGGCACATGCTTTATACCGAGGAGTGCTTAGTGTATTACTCAAATATGTAAGTAGCAAGAGAACCTGCATCAAGCTAAATGATTCCTCATTTACAAAGGACTACAAATGAGGAAAAAAGTTTTTTTTTTTAACCAAAAGGAAGGGTTTGTTTAAATAAAAAAAAGGTTTACTGATATGGTACAGGTAAACGATATTCTGCAATCCTTCCAAATAGAAAGGTAGCTTTTACAAGTAAAGAAATTGTTTTCAATTGTAAAGCTCAGACTAGCTTCTATAGGCTATTAATTACAGCAATGACATTTTTTTAACAGTACATCTCAGACTACTTACAGTGACTTGCCCTGTCACGGAAACGCATCCTAAGGCTTTTTGCCAGCCTAACTATTAGCTGCAAACATGAGAAAAAATATTTTTTAACTAACCTAGCTATGCCAGAACACTTTTTTTTTTTTTTTTTCTACCATGCAAATAAACAGTACACAACATACTGAGGTGGCTTTTGCTGAGCCTGCTCATTGCAGAACAACATTCTCTGACAGAACAGAAAAAAACGTGAATTAGAGTGGAATCAACAATCCCGCTGTACTCAGCTAACTTTCTGATGGACTACTCTGAGAATTTTAAGACACGAACTGTTAATTTTCTGTTCCAGTAATCTTTTATCAGATTAATCATATCAAGAATAGTCTTATGCATCTTCAACTCAATCCCACATGTTTATGAAGTCAAGGTTTCTGCTTTTTTCTTTGTTTGTTTAAGGCTTTTAGGTCAAAATTTATATTTTCTCCATATACAGATCTGCATTTCTAGCAATAGCCTCTTCTGTTTAGTGTAGCCCTTAAGGTCTTTTTCATCAACCAGAGATTTTTTTTTTTTTTTTAATGTCCTGCATGCACTGCCTTTGCACAGAAAAGCCTGTGCTGTCAGAGACAGATGGAAGGTTATTTTGGGCCTCACAATAACTGTGGGGATTCTCTAGAAGTCATACTGCTTACATCAGGAAGTCTGTAGAGCTTCATTGTTCTTTGTAGAGTCATGTTTCTACTCAAATGCGAAAATTTCACCTCCACCAATTTTCTGGGATTCAGTGATCGATGCCAATACCTGGAAATAAAATTAATAATGAAATTAAATAGTATTTTAAATGTCAGCCTTACTTGCATCCATTTCCCTACTTTCTCACATTGCTCCTTGTCCTCTCCAAATTTGTTTCTAAGCAAGCCTGTACTATGTCTGTAAGAAGCTTGAGCAACAAAAGATAAGGAAAGGTATATCCAAGCAACAGCTTTTAAACAGGCCTGCTATCACCATATTTTGAATCTAAGTCAATGCTTTTTATTACAGAATGAGTAATCACAGGGCTAAACATTTTAGTACTTGCCATAGCCCTGACAATCTCACCATACTTACATGGTAAATTTGTTTTCTTGTACAGACAGGACCCTCTGCTCATGTCTAAGTAGTTTGTTGAAGTAGATCTCTTCCTAGAGATCCTAGGATCTAGATCCTAGGAGATCATTGTGCAGCAGAACACCCCTGCTTACTCTAACACAGCATGGCTTTTTTTTTCCCCCCCATCCTTCTTTATAGAAACTTACAGGATCTTTGGTGTTGATAGGTACAAACGCAATTTCAAATCAAAAAGTACCCTGTCCTCCAGAAGGATAGACAGCTGAACTAATACTGCTGGAACTGAACTTTTCCCAGCAGAAATATAATCCATTCCAAGCAAATGAAATTATACTTGATTACATACAACTCTTCTCACGTGATAGTTCTCCCATCTTTACCAAATGCCAATCAAGTCCTCCTTTCTCCAGGAAAGATGAAAGTATTTCAAAAAAGCAAATCATACAATTCCCAGAAATGCTCTGCCATCTTTGGCAAGCAACCAGGTCAACAGGGAAGTGTCCCAGCAGGGAAACAGGCCACATGAAAAACACAGGTATACAATGTTGTCATTGCTAGCATGGCTTCCACCAGAAGGTTGACAGAAACATCTATTAGTCTATTTAAGGTATGATAAAAAAACCCCAAATTAGATTTTAGTCTGAGAAGCTGTTCTATCCAAGGCACTGGGAGGGAAGGAAAGAAAAAAAGAAAGGAGAAGAGAAAGAGTGCGGGGGGGGGGAAAGAGAGAAAGAGAGAAAGAAAGGGGGAAAAAAAGAAAAAGAGAGAACAAAAGAAAGGAAAAAAAGAGAGGGGGAGAGAGGAAGGGGAGGGAGGAAGCCACCCTGACAAACACTCAGGCCTTCAGGTTAGTCAAGGCCACAACATTTAATTTCTTTGAATTTTATGCTTTTATTGTTTCTAGCCACTTACATAAAACGTTCTTTAAAATGACTGCTATAGGAACTGATATTATTATGAACATCACCTAGGTTACCTGCAAGTGGCCACAGGTTTGGGGAGTACCACTCCAGCAGTGTAAACAGCCTGAAAAATTCCTTCCAGGTTTACTCTTCTGGTTATTTCCCGGATCAGTACAGGTGCTACCCGTTTAGATCTCAGTTTCTTATGGACACACAGAAAATTAATTTCTACCATTTTCTTCACGCTAAAAGGACATTAAATAGTGGAAAAGTTAAAAAGAGTTGCACACTGCATATTTTCATTTGCATAATTGTAGTTTTCCATGTTGTGACAGAAGAATTTGAGGCAAAAATAAATTGGCCCATAACAAAGTACATCTGCAACAAATACTAATCTATGATACAGAGACTGCAATGGCAAATTGTGCAATATGCAAGCTGTGTCTAAGGTGTTTGCAACATTCCTTTTTCAGAGCTTTATCGAGACTTAACCAATTGCCTTACTTTAAGATGCAGAATGGCATCCAAGCACATGCTATGTGGTGTCATAATACTTTATGATTGTCCGTGTATGAAGACCTGGCCAAGGAAGTCCAGCTGACTGACTATCCTTTAAATACTTTCCAGTAGGGTCAGAAAATTCTGTCGTTATCTGTTATCATCCATCAATAAGAAAATTCCTTAAATATCTATTACTGGTCTTCATTGTAAGGAGCCCACAAGCTTTTTGTGTGTGTGGGGAAGAGTGGAAAAAAAAAAAGTCTCTGCTACATACACAGGATTCTTCTGACTCTTTATGGTCAGTGAGCCTCCTTCTCTCATTGCCAGTTCTCTACGGCAGTGGATACCAGTTTAAGATTTGTTTCATGGTGTTATTCTTTTACAAATACAAAAGTAATTGTGCATTTTACCTGTCATAAATACGAATATTTGCAGGGATGGCACTTATGAATCCTACCAGTTTTTTGTTTGAAGACACTCTAACCCCACAGTGCCACTGGGGTAACCAGCCTGGAGGACGTAGTGCCCTAGAATTGATGACAGAAATAATTACAAATTACTGCCTAAGAAGATGTAATAAAAACACCCTTCTTTGCACTCCAGCCAGAGTAGAATGTGGAACTTGCTACTCACCACAGAAGAAATTCAGGTGAATAATCAAACCTAAACATATTATCATCATCTTCTACGTAATTCTCATTTAACAGCGTGTATAACTCCTTCAGCTGAAAACACACACAAAAAAATCCAAAGATTGATCCACACACATCAATCAGAATAAACCTCAATGATTTTAGATACATACAAAAATTGTTTTACTTACAACTTCAGCATTGCTAAGATCCAATGTGTCCCACATAAAACCTTGTGGCAAAGAATATGGCTCTAGACGGACATTGTCCTTATCTGGTTCAATTGCACCATGTGAAGTTATAACTTCATCTTTTGAGGGAGAAGGAGGGGAAAAAAAAAACCACACAGAAAAAAAAAAACAGTTACATTGCTAGCTTTCCTGATAGTTCTCAAAACTGCATTTCACTCACATCATGTATTTTCTCACAATTATGTGATAGGAACATGAAGCTTTTAAAAAATGCTGAAAAAAATTATTATTATTAGCTTATAGTAATTCTCATTCTCACAGATCACATTCAGACTAATGACTATCTTATCAGAATATCTATAGATATACACAAAACTACTATACCTCAACTGATACCCAGTATTTTGTAACACAGGACAGCAATTTATCAGCACATGCACAGCATTTAGCCAGCCACAAGATCCACGATCTCATCATGAGAAACATGGTGTACTCACAGCTAACAAGCCATGGCTCGGATCCTGTTTACCACTGACTTGAGCAGACCCAAACTCAATAGGATTACGCAGGAGCAGTGGCCTGGCAAAGCCAGGGCATTTAAGGGATGCTGGTGTGAAGCTTGTTCTTAAAATCCTACATGAAAGCGTGCTTTCTTCTCCTCCCCTACCTTACAACTCTGGTCCCTCAGTATATAGCTATAAACAGAAGCTGTTCCTCTGCTATGGAGCAGCACCTGCCAAATCATAGAATCATTTAGGTTGGAAAAGACCTTTAAGATCATCAAGTCCAACCATTAACCTAACACTGTGTCCTGGTTTTGGCTGGGACAGAGTTAATTTTCTTCATAGCAGCTAGTATGGGGCTACGTTTTGGATTTGTGCTGGAAACAGTGTTGATAATACAGGGATGTTTTAGTTACTGCTGAGCAGTGCTTACACAGAGTCAAGGCCTCTTCTGCTTCTCACACCACCCCACCAGCGAGTAGGCTGGGGGTGCA